GTGTGCTGTGTGTGTGTGCTGTGTTTGTGCTGTGTGTGTGTGATGTGTGTGTGATTGTGTGTGTGCTGTGTGTGTGCTGTGTGTGTGTGCTGTGTGTACGCTGTGTGTGCGCTGTGTGTGTGTGCTGTGTGTGTGCTGTGTGTGTGCGGTGTGTGTGTGCTGTGTGTGCTGTGTGTGTGTGCTGTGTGTGTGTGCTGTGTTTGTGCTGTGCGTGTGCTGTGTGTGTGTACGCTGTGTGTGTGCTGTGTGTGTGCTGTGTTTGTGCTGTGTGTGTGCTGTGTGTGTGCTGTGTTTGTGCTGTGTGTGTGTGATGTGTGTGCTGTGTGTGTGTGCTGTGTGTGTGTGCGCTGTGTGCGCTGTGTGTGCTGGGTGTGTGCGTGTGCTGTGTGTGTGTGCGCTGTGTGCGCTGTGTTTGTGCTGTGTGTGTGTTCTATGTGTGTGTGCTGTGTGTGTGCTGTGTGTGGGCTGTGTGTGTGTGCTGTGTTTGTGCTGTGTGTGCTGTGTGTGTGCTGTGTGTGCTGTGTGTGTGCTGTGTCTGCTGTGTGTGTGTGCTGTGTGTGCGCTGTGTGTATGCTGTGTGTGTGCGTGTGCTGTGTGTGTGTGCGCTGTGTGCGCTGTGTGTGCGCTGTGTGTGTGTGTGCTGTGTGTGTGTGCTGTGTGTGTGCGCTGTGTGTGCTGTGTGTGTGTGTGCTGTGTGTGTGCTGTGTGTGTGTGTGCTGTGTGTGTGTGCTGTGTGTGTGCTGTGTGTGTGTGCTGTGTGTGTGTGCGCGTGCTGTGTGTGTGTGCTGTGTGTGCGCTGTGTGTGTGTGCTGTGTGTGTGCTGTGTGTACGATGTGTGTGTGCTGTGTGTGTGTGCTGTGTGTGTGCGCTGTGTGTGCTGTGTGTGTGTGCTGTGTGTGTGCTGTGTGTGCTGTGTGTGTGCGCTGTGTGTGTGCTGTGTGTGTGCTGTGTGTGCTGTGTGTGCGCGCGTGCTGTGTGTGTGCGCTGTGTGTGTGCTGTGTGTGTGCTGTGTGTGTGTTTGTGTGTGTGTGCTGTGTGTGTGCGCTGTGTGTGCTATGTGTGTGTGCGCTGTGTGTGCTGTGTGTGTGCGCGCGCTGTGTTTGCTGTGTGTGTGTTTGTGTGTGTGTGCTGTATGTGTGCTGTGTGTGTGCGCTGTGTGTGTGTGCGTCTGTGTGTGTGCGCGCTGTGTGTGCGTGTGACGATGATGTTGTTGTGTGTGCTGCGTGTCTAACAGCCTCCCACCACCACCACTGTCCTCTACAAGCCGGCGGTGTGATCCGAATGGCTGGCGAGACACAACAGAGACGACGACGCCGCGCACGGTCGAAGCCCAACAACAACAAGCAGCAGCAGCCGCTTACTGCTGCCGAGAGCAGCGAGAGAGGAGGCGGCGCCATCCCGCCTCGCCTCCTCCATCGACACGCGAACAGCAGCAGCAGCATCATCATCATCAGCAGCAGCATCATCATCAGCAGCAGCATCATCATCATCAGCAGCATCATCATCATCAGCAGCAGCAGCATCATCATCATCAGCGTCAGCAGCAGCATCATCATCAGCAGCAGCAGCAGCAGCATCATCAGCAGCATCATCATCAGCAGCATCATCATCATCAGCAGCAGCAGCAGCATCATCATCATCATCAGCAGCAGCAGCAACATCATCATCAGCAGCAGCAGCATCATCAGCAGCAGCATTATCATCATCAGCAGCAGCAGCATCATCATCAGCAGCAGCATCATCATCAGCAGCAGCATCATCAGCAGCATCATCATCAGCAGCAGCATCATCAGCAGCAGCAGCAGCATCATCATCATCAGCAGCAGCAGCATCATCAGCAGCAGCATCATCAGCAGCAGCAGCATCATCATCATCATCATCAGCAGCAGCAGCATCATCATCATCAGCAGCAGCATCATCAGCAGCATCAGCAGCAGCATCATCATCAGCAGCAGCAGCAGCAGCATCAGCAGCAGCAGCATCATCATCATCATCAGCAGCAGCATCATCAGCAGCAGCAGCATCATCATCAGCAGCAGAGCGCGCGTTGTCCACCGTCTGTGGGGGTGAGAGATGCAACACACGCACACACGTATATATAGACACATGCACACGTACGGACACGCACAACGTATAAACACACACGTATAGACACACGCACACGTATAGACACGTGTAAACATTAACACGTATAGGCACACCTATAAACACACGTATAGACACGTGTACACATTTCATCACACGTAGAGACACACACGTATAGGCACACACGTATAGACACACACGTATAGACACGTGTAAACATTCACACGTATGGACACACACACGTGTATCGATACATACGTGTGTAGCTGCACCGGTATTGACACGCATGCACAGCAAAGATAACAACTGTATAGACACAACATACACTAAGGGATAGACACATGCACACGTCCACGACACACACATATGCCGATTTTTAGACATACACGCAGGCACATGCACATTGTAGACACATTTAAATTCAATTGTATATTCTCATACACAGTGATGGTGTCGGCATGTATATAGACACATACGGTACACATTGATGCATGTCAACATTTACAGTACACGCACAGACACATGTTAGCATGCTAACACACTAATAGAGCTAGGCATGCATTGTATGCGCGCACGCATACACAGATGTAAACACATGCTAAGTGACACACACACAGTGACACACACACACAGAGGTAAACACACACACAGTGCCAGTGACACACACATAGAGGTAAACACACAGTGACACACACAGTGACACACAGAGAGAGAGAGGTAAACACACACAGTGACATTGACACACACATAGAGAGAGAGGTAAACACACACAGTGACATTGACACACACATAGAGGTAAACACACACACAGTGACACACACACAGAGGTAAACACACACACAGTGACACACACACACACAGTGACACACAGAGAGGTAAACACACACAGTGACACACACACACATTGACAGTGACACACACAGTGATACACACGTAGAGGTAAACACACACACAGAGGTAAACACACACAGTGACACACACACACAGAGGTAAACACACATACACAGTGACACACACAGTGACACACAGAGAGGTAAACACACACACAGTGACAGTGACACACACATAGTGACACACACACAGAGGTAAACACACACACAGTGACAGTGACACACACACAGTGACACACACAGTGACACACAAAGATCAAAGATCCCCCGTATAGCCTGAACAGACTGTAGGGGCAAGTGCTGTTAGCGAGCACCTATGAAGGCCGGAACGGTACACGAGGGGGTGGGTGGCCAGCACCACGCCCGACCGCCTTTGTCTCCCTAGTGGCGATGTTTACACACCGCACCAGGTACTCATTTAAGGCTGAGTCGACCTAGGGGAGGCCCAGGACCGGTTCAGATAATCGTCACTGGTGTTGGCCGTGAGCGGGAATCGAACCCGTGTCGCCAGGTTCATAGCGCAGCGCGCTAACCGCTACACTACCGCTCCCCACAGTGACACACACACACAGTGACACACACAGTGACACACACACAGAGGTAAACACACACACAGTGACAGTGACACACACACACAGTGACACACACACAGTGACAGTGACACACACACAGTGACACACACACAGAGGTAAACACACACACAGTGACAGTGACACACACACACAGTGACACACACACAAAGAGGTAAACACACACACACAGTGACACACAGAGAGGTAAACACACACACAGTGACAGTGACACACAGAGAGGTAAACACACACACACAGTGACAGTGACACACAGAGAGGTAAACACACACACACAGTGACAGTGACACACACACAGTGACACACAGAGAGGTAAACACACACACACAGTGACAGTGACACACACACAGTGACACACACACACAGTGACACACACACAGAGGTAAACACACACACACAGTGACACACACACAGAGGTAAACACACACACAGTGACAGTGACACACACACAGTGACAGTGTAACACACACAGTGACACACAGAGGTAAACACACACAGTGACACACACACAGAGGTAAACACACACACACAGTGACACACACACAGAGGTAAACACACGCACAGTGACAGTGACACACACACAGTGACACACACAGTGACACACACAGAGGTAAACACACACAGTGACAGTGACACACACACAGTGACACACACAGTGACACAAAGACAAAGATCCCCCGTATAGCCTGAACAGACTGTAGGGGCAAGTGCTGTTAGCGAGCACCTATGAAGGCCGGAATGGTACACGAGGGGGTGGGTGGCCAGCACCACGCCCGACCGCCTTTGTCTCCCCAGTGGCAATGTTTACACACCGCACCAGGTACTCATTTAAGGCTGAGTCGACCTAGGGGAGGCCCAGGACCGGTTCAGATAATCGTCACTGGTGTTAGCCGTGAGCGGGAATCGAACCCGGGTCGCCAGGTTCATAGCGCAGCGCGCTAACCGCTACACCACCGCTCCCCACAGTGACACACACACAGTGACACACACACACAGTGACACACAGAGAGGTAAACACACACACACAGTGACAGTGACACACAGTGACACACAGAGAGGTAAACACATACACACAGTGACACACACACAGAGGTAAACACACACACACAGTGACAGTGACACACACACACAGTGACACACACAGTGACACACACACACAGTGACAGTGACACAGAGAGGTAAACCCACACACACAGTGACAGTGACACACACACACAGTGACACACACAGTGACACACACACAGAGGTAAACACACACACACAGTGACAGTGACACACACATACACAGTGACACACACAGTGACACACACAGAAAGGTAAACACACACACACAGTGACAGTGACACACACATACACAGTGACACACACACAGTGACACACACACAGAGGTAAACACACACACACAGTGACACACACACAGTGACAGTGACACACACATACACAGTGACACACACACACAGTGACACACACACAGAGGTAAACACACACACACAGTGACACACACACACAGTGACACACACACAGTGACACACACAGAGAGGTAAACACACACAGTGACACATACACACAGTGACACACACACAGTGACACACACACACAGTGACACACAGTGACACAGAGAGGTAAACACACACACACACAGTGACACACACACACAGTGACACACAGTGACACACACACAGTGACAGTGACACACAGTGACACACACACACAGTGACACACACACACAGAGGTAAACACACACACAGTGACACACACACACAGAGGTAAACCCACGTGTGTGCTGGTGTGTAGACCCCCCCACCCCCCACCACCACCGCCCTCGTCACGGGCTCGAGGCGCCGGGGCGAGCGGCCTCAGTAGCAGCTCTGCCAGGCCACGGGGGGTGGGGGGGGAGACGCCGATCTTCGCTGGGAATCATTCCTGACAATCGACTCTTCTTATTCTTCATCATCATCATCATCCTCTTCTTCTTCGTCTCAAATCATGGGAGCCATCGTCATCATCTTCTTCTTCCCACCGGCTCTACATTCTGCATGGGGTACGTGCCAGTTGACAGCCTCCTACCCCATCAACTCAACGACTACTCATCTCTCAATCTGTTTCTCTTTCTCATCTTACATACGATTGTCTAATGCACTATCACTATAGTGTAGTAACGTGGGTTGTTTTTAACATCGTGTTATACGGCGTGTTGTTTTCGGTGCTAGAACGCGTTGATACATCTTCGAATGCCACAGTGTATGACGGTGCTTGTTTTACATTGCAAGTACACGCGATGTTGTAGGCTCTGCAATATAAAGGCAGTATAACTTGTACAATACATGCGGTATATAATTTGCAATGTATTTAGATGCGAAGCAAAATGCATAGCATTGTAATATAATTAATAAAAAAATTAAAAATTGTGCCATGTGTGTTTGTGTGGTACCGTAGCGATTTCTGAAGCGTTACTACAATTTCTATGTATTGTTTCTCGTTTATGGAAATGTATTTTAAATGTATTTATCTGGTTACAATGTATTTATATTGCAGTTGTAGTGTATATTTAATCACTATTGCTCTAGTTTATATAGTATTTACATGTGCAGCGGTGTGTGTGTGTTGACCAATCATTGTGAATTTGTGTGTATTCTTTACCCATCTCTTATTGTTACAAATGTTTAATTCGTTTAGGTGGTGCAATGTTTATTTATAGCTGCCGTGTTATTTTCATATTTATATTTTAAAGTCTCTATCGGTGGCTCATCGGTTGCTATGTTCAAAAGAATACAATCCGGTGTTTATCACTTACCCCAAAATAATATCTATCTTTTAATTATATCCGACACTGTATCTGTATTTACATTGTGTATTGAATTGTCATAGGATTATAACTAATTTGCTCATAATATGGCTGTATTTTGGTAGTACGTCACAGTAAGATTACTTACTATAACGGAATGGAATAGGTAGCTTAATTTATCTTCAATCTTTAAACATTATACAGGCAAGTTGCTTTTATTAGCTAATGCGATCATATATATATTTGATACATGTGTTCAGTTTTCCATCATTGTAAGTGTGTTGTCTTTTGCTATTTTTGCTCCTTACGTATGTACACATTGTATTTTATTCTATAATTATACAATATTTAGAGATATACCTCGTAATTGTACTCATAGTGTTTCATATTGCATCACGTCAAAGATTAGCGTTGTCATTTTATTTTTGCAGATGTTACAAATACATACCGAGGTGCAGTTTGATCTTGTTCCAAATATCTAACTACTTTATGTTTACTGTATTACAGTACAGTATTGTACTGATAATTGCAGTATTCCTGCACTTTATGACTTTATTCCATATTAAATAATTGCATGTTAATATATGTCCGAAGTACGCGTGTGTCTAAATAAGACTGCAATCTGTGTGATGTGCTGTCATGTACACCGTGGTCGAGGTGTCTTCTGACACCCAATTAATTGAGCCCTAACATTGTTGTTCCTTTGGTTTAAATCAATATTATATTTTAAAAAATACGTTTTAGAAAATTAAATGGGGGGGGGGGGGGGTCACAATACATCTGGACCATCCTGTCGACTCATTTGTAAATCCACTGCTGGATTAGAGCCTCTCCCACGTGATGTACTGTGTACATTAGTTCCATGATAATTAACATCCAGTTTACCCGAAGCGTTGTGCTCGCATTAACGTCGTAACAATGTAGCACAGAGTGGTGACATTCAAGTACACAGCAATGCATATCACGCTACAGCATTCGCCCCATTGGATTTAATCTGCAGTTAATATTTAATCTGGAAAACTCGGTCCGCTCCCAACAACTCTGGCGGGGGACGTGTCATTGAAAGAGGAGAGGCACACATTTCGTTTGCCCGAACCCGTGTAAGTAACCTCTTTTTCGGGGCACTTCCAGCATTTTGGGAAGGCAGCAAGGTAGAATGAGAGCAAAACTCCACTCCACTCCTTGTGCTGCTTGCTTGCTGCTGCTGCTGCTCATGATGACCAGTCACATGTGCTGGCCGTGGCAATGCAGGGCTGACGTCATTGGATAAGAATGAGCTCTTGTGTGTGTGTGTGGTGTGTTGTGTGTCTATGTGTACACATCTGCAGTTGAACCGTGCCAGTTGGGTTTCAATTTGTGGGACAAACACAATGTGCCGGCTTTGTGTATTGAGACAGAAAGTCTCCTTTGCAAGTGGAGATCTGTGGGAAGTAAGCAGTTGATGCAAGACCCTTGTTTATAATCAGGTGAGAGGGCCCCCTTGAGATGGTTTTATTTTGTAAAGGAGATCTGGGAAGCATCAACATTACATAGTATGGACTTTATAACCGTTTGAGAGCCCGTGGAGATGGGGAATCTTTTGTAATGTAGATCTGGCTCTTGTGCATCGTTGCCCTGGGCACACAGCGACGAGGTTAAAAGGTGCAGCCCTGCAATATCTCGCTCACGCCGCTGCTGCTGGAAGGGCATCAACTAGAGGGAGCTCTTTAGTGCACCTCTAGAGAGTACATCGAGAGAGCATTGTTCACTAATTTTCAGAGGGGGGCCATTGGGGTTTGACACCATGATGGGATGTCGCCACATTTGTGTATTGTCGGGGGGCCTCGCTAAAGGCCACTAGGGCCCGCAAGTTGCCCGTGGGCCTTGCAGTGAAGACCACTACTCTAGAGTCTAGAGGGTATTTTTGGACTACTCTTCCACACTGGCCCGAAGTCTTGCAAGAGGTGGGTATCCCCACAGTTTACCCCACCACACCCACCCTGATTATCCACTCACTGTGCCCCCCCCCCCCCCACCATTTACAAAACACAGTCCACACATATCTGCTCCTGTGTATATCATCATTATCAACATGAGCTGGATGAAGGCCTCCCCACACCGTCGCCGTCCCTCGAGAGTCCTGTGATGCCACAATTCGTCGTACTCTCTCTGTCTCGGCGATGGTCCCATTCCCATGCTCTCTTCTCACTCGCTCTTCATTTTAGCTGCCGCTCGGGTCAACGCAGCGCCGGCCGTCACGTCGTGACCTGTCGACGTTGCCGGGCCCATGAACCGCGGTCGCAGCCGTCGGTGTTGATGATGCACACGCGGATTCGTGTTTGTTCACCTCATCACAACACACGAATAGTAATTATAATTGGCCAAATGCAGCACCTGAAATAGTATTGAGACTCAGTGAGGTTATCGTACTACTGTATTATTTTTCGATTTAAAGCTTTCGTGACTGCAGGGATTCATCTTCTTGGTTCTTTCGGTAAAGTCACGTAGAATGGAAATAATAAAATAATAAAATATAAATAAAACATAATAAAATAATTCTCACGACGTTTCGGCCACAACGCAAGCAGCCGTCCTTTTCTCGACAGACCTGTTCTCCACCTGAGGACGGCGGCTTGCATTGTGGCCGAAACGTCGTGAGAATTATTTTATTATGTTTTATTTTTATTATTTTACTGTATTATTGTCACATGAGCTAATTCACTTATAGTATACAATACATTACTTATGGATTAGGTCATTGGCAATGCCTATCGTGTATTGCATTCGTTTGTGAATAAAGTATGCTTTCCTTATCAATAATAATTAATAGGCCTTTGGCAATCCACTGCTAGATGAATGCAGGGTAGGATAAGCAACGTGGAGGTTCAGCAGATAATTGTGGCAGAGAAGAGTTGTAGATGTGATCAGAAAGCGGAGGTTTGCGATGGGTCGAGACGCATGTGCAGGATGGAGGAGGGCAGGTTACCGAGACGGGCATTGGAATGGACACCCACAGGTCGCTGACGATCAAGAAGGGGAAGACCAAAAGCCTGGTGGTGTGGTGGTGATTATGATGAGACAGATCCACCCTTGACGGACTTTGTCAGTGTGTCACAAGGGACACGTCAATTGTTGAACACGACTCAAAGCCTGCTGATGGCGACACTGAAATAGGACCTTAAAGGATACATCGACTGTGTAAATATCTAAAGCCAGATAGTTGTTAGGATGAGACTAAGAGCAATCCGTTGGAGACTTGATGTTGATTGGCAGCTGACCTGGCAGAAGGGAGGAAGACAAGGCGAGGTGTGTTGGTTACTTGTTCATAATATAATGGCGGGATGAAGTACAGTAACATGATGTTGCTATGTAATGTACCTATGTTATGAATTGCAGCATGCTGTACAGTGCAAAGTAAATATTTTCCAGTAGAACACATGCTGGATCCTTAATGCCACGATATTTAAAAGGGAAGCGAAAGCAATTGCAGGAAGTTGCAGGAAAACATCAAGTGCGTAATGTGCCTGATTGATGGGATGGCTGGGTGATTGGGTGGGCCTATTGAAACATCACTCATTCCGTGGAGCCAGGGGCCAGGGGAGATTGTGGTGGTGGCGATGATGGTGGTGGTGGTAGTAGGAAGCTTTGGGATGTGACACAGGTTTTCCACAGCCCCGCATGGCATGCACAAGACGGGCGCAGCAATAATAACAACTTGGCAGGGTCTGCAGCCACAAAGGCCTCGTGCTGATAACGCCATTGCAGCACTGTAGCACACAAATACTATTACGGAACATACAAACAATAGACTGTTGGGGCAAGTGTTGTTAGTGAGCACCTAGTAAGGTCAATCGGGAGCAGGAGGGCGAGGCACGATCAGCAACCACGCCTTTCCACCTCGTCTCGCTCTCTCGGTGCCGATGTTTATCCAGCACACCAGGTACACATTTAAAACTCCCGTCGACCTGAGGGAGGCCCATAACCTGTTCATGATCACTTGCCACTGATGTGAGCTGTCACTGGGAATTGAATTCAGGTTTCGTAGCCTAGTGCACAAACCACTTTGTCTCTGTTGCTCTGTATCATGTGCGATCTCGGTTAAAACGTGTGTAGTTAATGAGGCACGACCTGGTTACTCATGTGCAATATTTTTTTTAACTCGAGATTTTGCCACTAGATGGCATATATATTCTGTAATCAAAGATGGCAGCACCCTTGCACATTTGCAAATAAGAAAAGCAGTGGCCTCCTGCATAGATATTGCAGCTGTGTTTTAT